TGCTGGCTGGGGAATTCTGGGACTTGAAGTCCACACATCTTAAAGTTGCCAAGGTTGAGAAACACTGGTTTACAAGATGGAACAATTATAGATTAAAGAAAAAAAAAGAAAATTCACTAATAAATTCATTATGGAATTATGCAATAATCTGTATTGCATAATTCCAAAGTGAATTATGCAATACAAATTAATTTTAAATGTAATTTATGTAGACATGATGCAAAAAATGACTGTAAACCAATTTACCAATGTACAGCTAGGCAATTTAAGTGGCAAATAGGTTTCTTAGTATAACAGTATCATACTTATATTTTGTACTTAGTATAAATCATTCAAGTCTTTTTAAGGGTAAAAAGAGCTCTCCTTTTACAATTTCAGTTTTGGGGTTTTGTTCCTTTTCTCTTTTCCCATAGTTGGGGGCTGGATGGGCAGATTTATAGTGTATTTGTAATGTTGTGATATAACTGAGAGAAATAAGCCATGCTTTCTTCTAAAAACTTATACTAATTCTATAGACGTATAATATAAAGTTTATTCCTAATTTATGGATAAAATACAACTGAAGAGCTTTGCTTCCTGCAGGCCACCTGCAATCTCATCGCTTTTCCTGCTTGAATAAATACTTCAAAACATGCCAGTACAAATATATTTTCCTTTTCATTCCAAGGTCCTGAATTTCTAATTAACCATTTTTTTTAACAAAGAAGACACGATAAGCAAACAGATTTTAAAAAGCAACTATTTTAAAAACATGCCCAAGAGCAACATTTGTAAAGCAGGCTGATCCTATCCACTCTTCTTTCAAATTCGTCCATTTAATTATGGAGGGGGGCACACAAGGTGCCCTTCCCATCCCAGTCTCCAGATATGTTGGGACTATAGCAAGCTGGCTGAAAATTTTGGGTGGACATAGGTTGAGGAAGACAGGAGTTTATTGTCAAATTCTGCACCTGATATCGATCATTTTACAGCACTATTTATACATGCCCAACCTTTAAATGGAAAATATGAGTTAAAAACAAACAAACAAATATACATTTTGATGGTAACGCAAGAACACATCTGCACTTCTCTTTCACTCTTTCCCTTGAATCTGGAACTACTCACCACTGTCAAGCTTCTCTTCATTGTTCATCTCCATGACTACAAATTTCTCACAGACTGCAAATGTAGGTAAAGTAGAAGAGATGAACTGTCCAAACCTTGGAAGACAGAGGGGGGAAAATGGCATGCACTTGTATGACAGATGGAGTTTAATTTTGCTATTAGTTAACATCAGCTGCACAGTAAAAGCAACACTAAGTAGCAATGGGTCTAAAAATCTACATTCGGGTGACGGTTTATTTAGCATGAAAACTGTCTTGGTCTGGCATATATTAAACCACTTTTCCTCAATCTACTGAAACACTGCTTGTACTGCTGGAAGCTCTAGTGTTAAGACATCAGAAGCAGACTTGGTTGGGAAAGGTGACATTACGTAAAGGCTGTGCACCTTCGACACAGATGATAATGCACAACTATTACATAAAAATAGGGTAAATAATATATTTGAAGATACCCTGTAGGATTATCACTTTGGAACTGACATGGATTCTGGAATTAAAAATCATTACATTTCCCAAGCATGATCAAACTATACATGAAGATGCTTAGAGCAACTATCCAATAGATTCTGGTCCTGTTTTAAACATTTCCCTTTCTTATACAAAAACTGCATTTCTATGCAGGCAATAGGAAAATGTACCCTCTCTGAGAAATCAGCACACTCTCTAATTTTTGTAGGAAGAAAATCCAGAGTGAATCTCAATGGTACCTGAGTAGGTCATTGCTGCTAGGGAACCCCTGAAGCAAATAGCTTAAAACATTGCTAATAGCAGCAATGGTTGGCTGTGATAAAGACATGTCTCGAAGAGTCAGCAAGAGTTTTGGGATTAGCTGGAATTCCCTCATCAGTTTTGCATTTTTTGCGGCTTCGCTGCAAGAGAAAGAACAATTTAATAAGCAAGGAATTTTAACTGAAACTGAGAAGCTTCTTATCTTACATCTTATGCTGTGAATTATTTTTGGAGAGGCAATCATATCTAAGCATCAATTACCAAGTATATCAGTTGAGAAATCTGCATGGCTGGTATCATATCGTATTACTTAATGTGAAAATACCTGTATTTATTTACTTAATTACCCTAATTATTATATCCAAAATGTATTGCTTGTTGATCCCTTTTATTGTTACCTATTTTATATAGGTTCCTAATTTAATTAAAGTCAAATGCTGGTTGAAAGAGAGAGACAATCTGCTTCAAAAGGTCCTTTCTCTTCTATCCCCTACCCCTGAACATCACCCCTGAACACCATTAAGATAATTCATTAAAGAAAGCCCTTAAACATTAATATTTTGGCAGACAAGATTTGTCCATACATTTGTAGTTTCCATGACTGATTTCAAATCTAAGTGTTATTTGAATGAGATCTTCAAGAGAGGGTGCTTTATTTCCTGTAAAACTGTTTATTTGGCTTCTACGTGTATGTATATTAGTGTGCCTGCATATTAGACCCATGGAGTGCTCTGAATTCAAAGTGCAAACATAGCACCTGTCTATGCATACAACGCCTTAAAGCAGTTTTGTCTTTTCCAAGATTGCAACTGAATTAAAGTATTTGTGCTCCTGCACATTCAAAAACGTCATTGGAGATTTAATCCAAAGCTCTGTATAGCCTTAACATGCATATTTTATCACGAGATCGGATCTCCTTCCTACTCCCCCATCTCCTCAAAAGCAAAACAAAAATACAGAATGAATCAAACTGTGTAAGAGAATTAAACCAGGGCAAGCAAGCATAGTTTTCTGAGAATACTGCTGGAGGAAAACAATCTGGAGTGTTAATTTTCTTACACTGTTTATAAAGCAATACTTATCAATGTTACCTGGACTCAGTAAGAAGTTCAATGAAATGTTCAAATAATGAAAGATGAAGTTCATAGGGGGCATGAAGCCAAACCTGAAAAGCAAAAATAGTTCTGATTCTTATATGCTGCTTGATTTAGCAGATAATACTACCACCAAATCAAGGAGTTGAGCTTGACTACTACTTTATCTTTGTTCTAGATCAGCAAAATCAGAATAAATTGTTCTTGATTCTGTCTTAAGATTTACTTTATTTTGTTGTTCTGTTAGAAGAAAATACAGCCTAAATAACATTTCACCAATTTACAGTTTATCTTTTTTTTTTACAGAGATTTCCAGGTCAGGGTTGCTCCCTGGTCTCAGAAAAAAGAAAATGTGGGTTATGCTTATTCTGATTTGCTCTGAATGTAACACAAACCAAATCTTTATGAACATTATAATCAATTTTGTATTTCAAACTAAAGTGTTTCACTTTGTGTTTCCCCACTGAAATAGTTGTGAAGGGTTTATAGGAAAGTTATTATGGTAGACGTATCTGCGCATAACTCTGTTCATATCTAATATTTTTCAAACTGAACTCAACAAATCTATTTCCAATTGCATCTTCCTTTTGGAGCAAAGCATTATCCCACGCTCCTGCAGCCTTCCCAATTTGATGTGGTTCTCCTGATGTGCTTGTGCTATAAATCCCACATTCTCCAGCCAGCTTGGAGAGGATGAGAATTGTAATTCCTGCCCATCTGGAAGGCACCAGAATGACAAATATTTATATAATTTATTTCAACAGTTTACATTAAAATTGACCAACATAGTGGATCAGTGTTTATTTGCAGTGCAACTGTACAATATACCACATGGCATGTGAAGCATGAAAACATTTTTTTGCCAATAGCACATCTTCTCTTTCAAGCAACAATATTACTGCAGATTTGCTAATGATCTTAATTTCTAGCATTCGGAGACATTCTAAGTACCTCAAAATCACAAAGCAGGTCCTGAAAAGCAGTTGAATTTGGAATAATTGATGTTTCGTGTCCACTATCAACGGTACCCACTAAAGAAAAGGTCAGATGTAGAATGTGGCTGTTCAAAAGGCAACGCTTTTTCTTTAACAGCATAGCCAGCAACTGAAAGAAGATGTAACCACATAGAGACACTGAAATGCAGTGGTTTTTTTTTCAATTTTACAATCTCAAAACATTTTACAGACAGAAATAGTCACTTCATCCTAGCCTAGAAGAAACAGCCAGTCACACAGCCAAGCTTTCTTATGTAAAGAACAAGCACCTCAATATTTACAGTAAATTGAATATTAAGGTTAACAGCGAAAAAGGGGGAAAAAAAAACCAGAAATGAAACTGAAAGTAACCCCAGGACAGCACACACTGAAAAATGAACGGAGGAAGTTACTATCTGATTCTTGCTACTGAATTGTTGTTTCAGAATCCATATTTTTCAAAAAGAAAAAAAAATCAGTTCAACGGATGGACAGAAATGCAACAGTGAGGGCATTTCATAATTAAAGTCTCTGGCCGTTTAGGTGAACGTAACAAAAGAGAGGGCAGGTGCTTGAAAAACAAGTTTTTAGCTTCTCTGAACCCATTATCCTGAGATTTCAAAATACTTTTTTTTTTTTTTGCATTCTTAGAACTAAATCATTTCTAAACCATGCAGTAATATCATGTGCATATCACAGGTACTGATGTCATTTAATATTTATCTGTATATTTAGACATTATTCTGATGATCTTGTATTTTTAAGTTTTTAGGAAGACAAATTAAGAACTGATGCAGTCAGGTTAATTTAGTGATCTGATAATGACAATTAAATTCTCTGTTCATTTGGGGGAAAACCCCCCTCATACTATCAACCTCTGTTCAGAAGCTAAAGCTCATTCCAAATCATGCAGTACATACTGCTGGATCACTGTAAGGGATGCTACTTTGGTTACCATCAGAACAATAATCCTGTCTCTTATGACAGAAAATCATTCCCGTTTTACAGGAGAGGCTTCTACCATTTACCCCAATGAAATGTTATATTTTAAATCAATTACAGTATATAAATAAAGCAACCTGCAATTCACTTCAAATGTCCTTCAACAGCACAGATGGTGCAGTGCCCTTGGTTATCCCAACAATAAAGCTTCTCATTTGCTTCTTGGCAGGCTCCTCTGAGTTCTTCCTTTCAATCTGGCAAACGCTAAAGCTCTCTGCTGAGCTAGCAGCTGACCACGTTGTGCCTCTTAAACTGTAAAGCCGTAGCGCTTTGTTTTAAAGTAATGCTGTCACTGCTTGACATTTTGGAATATCGTTCTCTTCCCACTCTCCCAAACCTAGTACGCGCACCTGATTTTAAGGTGAAATGTAATGAATTTCACCCAAATTCAGTTCCACATAAGCAGTAACATTGATCTTTACACACACCTGGTAACCTTTGATTCTTTCCATTTCTTTGCTGGCCAGAGGATTGCTCTTTACCACGCAAACAAGGGCCTTCACAGCAGCATAAAGTCCTTCTACATCCGATGCCATAGCTACTAGACCCAAAATAGCAGCAGCTCCACCAATATACTGTAATGTAGTTGCAACAGGCTTAGGGACAAATGTTCTTACCCCTACACAAGTAGCAAAATAAAATAAAATCATCATAATCAGTTTGATTATTAAACTACAGGATAATCATTGACTTAATTATACTTCAAAAATACACAATTAGCAAATGTTCCAATTTCCTTTATCTTACCATATTTAAAAATAATAAATGGAAAAGAAGTTATCACATATAACTCTGAGTTGTTGGAATTATGTTGCTCATCTTGTAGAGGTTGCCAATACCAGAGAATAAAGTCAAACAATCAGTTCAAAATCTTGTGTGTTCATACATGCATTCAGATTCCTATCACATGTATAGGGGTTCCTCTATGCAGGAAACAAAAGGAACTACAGTCCTTGCTTACTGACCACTCATTCAGTGAATGTTTGAAGTTACGACAGTGCTGAAAAAATAACTTTATGACCCATTCATTACCTCTGCAGTGTTCCTCAGTTGTGTGATTGCCATTATAGTCAGTATGCATTATCCTGTGCCTGACCTGTGTTTTTTTTCTTTTTTTTCCCCCTTGTAGAGCAGCAAGATTAGAGAGGAAGGGATTGCAAAAGAGTAAGCTGTTTGCTCTTCTACACACCAAAAGCAATGCGATCATGCTGGGAGCCATGGGCACACTACACAAACAGTTTACAGTAGTTTCTTGCAAGTTATTTCTGTAGGCAATCTCTCCTTTGCCTGACCATTCCCCCCCACCCCACCCTGGCAGAGTGGAGAGCCTGGAGAGGAAGGAATTGCAAGAGAATAAGCTCTTTGCTCTTCTAGACACCAAAAGCAATGTGATCATGCTGGGAGCCGCGGGCACACTACACAAACAGCTTACAGTAGTTTCTTGCAAGTTATTTCTGTAGGTAATCTCTCCTTTGCCTGACCCTCCCCCCCCCCCCCCCCCCCCCCCGGCAGAATGGAGAGACTGGAGAGGAAGGGATTGCAAGAGAGTAAAGTGTTTGCTCTTCTACACACCAAAAGCAATGCAATCATGCTGGCAGTGGGAAAACGACCACAATTGGGACCAGCAACTTGGTCGTTAAGTAAAACAGTGCAAGAAATCATGACTGTGCTTACGATCTTACTTCAGCTTTCCTTTCCTTTACAGACCTGCAAAGGTCATCAATGCGAGGAGTGGTTGCAAAGTGACTTTTTCATCACCATCATAACTGCAAATGGTCGCTGTACCAGGCAGTCGCTAAATGATGACTATGTGTAACAGTTTAGTCTTGTAATCAGGACTGGATATCTTTGACAGCTGCAATGAGCCCTCCTTAAAAAGTTGATACTGAGCAGTAATTTTTAATATTACAGAATGGAGAAGTATTACATATGTGGGGAACCACCATACAAAGCATGTATCATTTTATTTTAATATTTTCTCACCCAAATATCCTATCAGAGCTGCACCAATGGTACGCGCAGGTCCATTTAAATGTCCTCCTGAATTGTGGAGCAGTTTCACTGGAGTGGCATTTTCATGAGATGAAATAGCTAACTAAAAAGAAAAAATAATCATTTAGAGAGCTTTTGTAGGAACAACATATGCATTTTCATGGAGCTCCAAGAAAAAACCCTCAAGCCTAAGAGAAGAAAGACTAGGATAAACTTCAGGTATAATTCTGTGATTAACACAAGCATAAGTATAGTCCAAAGGAACTTGTTTCCTAGTAAAACAGAAGAAATTTTTTTTCACTTGGACAATATAGTTTAGCAAATGTCTTTAATTTCTCCTGCTTGAAAACAAACTCTTTGTGGACACTTGTCATCACTTAGCCCAAGCCTCTAACTCTAAAACCCCAAACCAAGCCAAGACTATAGCTAATTGGAACCATTCATTTCTATAAGACAAGAAGAGGACTTGTGATCGCCCACAAGTGCTCCATTCAGTTGTTCCTTGTGAGGACATAGCAAGACAGTTTAGAGCTCTGGGAGACAAGGGAATAGCCATCTTTTTGCTCAAACCATAGTCGGCACCTTCAAAAGGGTTCACATATTTCTTTTTCTAATCACTTTTGGAAATTGTTTAACTGCTTTTAAGCTATTAGGAACCTTTGGATTGACAAGTTGTACAGCACCAGGCGAGTTTCTTTCAATCCTTAGCGAAAGAAGTTTTAAATACAAGTTTAAGGACTTAATTTTTTTTCTTTTGGTATAAACGGCAAAAGGAAGAGTAGAACTTTGATTTTGGAAAGTTACAAACAGACTAAGCATCCAGATGGATTTGAAATAAGACTTTGGAATTAATTATAAGAATCCTTCCCATGGGAAAATGCTTTTGTTTTGAATTCTTTTAAAAAAATGATAGGATGAGACTATGAAGGTTGGACCCTAGAGGGAACCAGAAGGAACTGAAGATTACAATTAAAGGAGAAGAACACTTAAATTTGACTTACCAATACGGAATGGAGCAAAATATCTTAACATTAGACATATTGAAGGATATTTTTGAACAATGGACCCAGAAGTTAATTTTAAGAGTGTCTGTCATTATAAATAGACTGTGTTTAAAAGATGTTATGGAAGAGGAACAGGTTTTACTGGGCAAGGCTGAGACTGATTCGAAAGTGGATTTAAAAATGACAGGCTACAAGAACGATATGGAAAAAGATGCTACACTATTACCAATGAAACTGGCCGATGTCTTAATAATTAAAAGGGATATACAAATGACAAACCAAAAGAGTGACTTGGATAACTTTCCTATACTGAATTTACAAAAGAGACTTGCTAAAGCTTTGAAGAATTTTGTGAGAAGGGATAAATAAAAAATGAAAAGAAATCAAGTTCCAGGACATTATTTGAAGAGACTAAAGATTAAGATTGTTAAAAGTAAAAGGAAGAAATATAAATTTGGTTTTTTGGAGCAAGGTTAAAATAGATACACTTATCTCTGGTAACCCTTAATGGACTTTTGCTGATCAGGGCTGAAATGATGAGGTTTTAAGGATTTGTCTATAGATAAGAGATGGAATATGGGAAGAAGAGATCATTTGTTGTATTTTAAGAGAAGGTGGTAAGTTACTAAAATTATTTATACTTGTGATGAAGGAGGAAGTAATCTCTTTATATATATTTCTTTTTCTTTACTATATTCTTATTTCTTCTTTTCTATTTTTCCCATTTTTTTCTTTTCTGCACTTTCTATTTTTCCTTTTTATTCTTTTTTTAGTTTGTATTTGTTTTTATCTTTTTAATTGTAATTCTTAATAAAATTACTATAAAATGAAGTATAACAGAGGTAATGAGAGGAACTACATACTGATTTATTCTTTGTTAACCTTTAGCTAAGAACATTATCTTCAAGCCTGGAATGCCTTCATGCGTGGACCCAATATACAAGTACAATCTATCATAAAAGATGCTTGCTGATCTGGCCACTCTCAAGTATCAAGTAATGTGTGAGGTCTACTGATGGAAAAAGCTGAGCGTCATACCATTTGTTGAGTCAATACCCCAAACTAGCCAGCTACACATAAAAAAGTTTTGAGCTTACCTGCTTTGCTATGGCCTTACTGTCCAATTTGTTATAAACTTTTCTAATTCTTGCCACTGTCAGTGAAGAAACAGAGAGAGCATAAAGGCCAAAGGAAACTTTCTCCTCTGGTACTAACGACACTGGAGACGGACTGACTCCTTCTGCTTTGGAATCTTTACCTTCAAATGAGAGAGATATTTCACAGTGAGATGATAAAATATAGCTGATAAGCCAGAAGAGATATGATCTTCAAGCCAAATCTCCCCAGAGTTCTGAATCCACTAGGAGACTTTAGAGAAGGACAATTTTTCAGAATCAGCTTATTATGTGCAATATTATGGGCTAGATAAAATATTTAGCCTAGGATCTAATCAATAATAACAACGAAAACCCCTTCTACATCAAACCAAATGTTCATCCTGTCCAGTATCTAGTTTGCTACTATAGCCAATCAGATGTTTGTGAAAGCACAAACGTAATAGCTTGTCGCTTCATAGTAACTAGAACTAAAATAGAACCCTTTATTAAGTTACTAAGTTACCCTCTTTGCATGCAAATTCTAAGAGTTGCTTAGCAATGGGTAAAATTTACCCATGTGATACATCCCTAATACTGCTAGTTGCTATGATAAATGATTTTGTACATTTCCCTCTATTCCACTTGGTCTTACCCTACTCTGCTTTGCAATGGCTCAGCTGTTTTCCTCATTAAAAACAAAGCTCTAGGAGCATGTTGGCCCAATTACAATTGGAATCACTGTGTATGAAGTACTAATTGTCCTCCCCAACGAGGCAAAACTGCTAGAAGAGATGCTGCTACAAGAATGGGTCTGTTTTGCAGCCACTCCTACCATCTACTGCTCTGTTTGAAGACTGGAAGGGCAAAACCTAGGTGGTTAATTCTCACCACATCTAGATTCAGATAGAGCAATAGCTTAGATAAATACACCTAAACAATTCATGGTTTTACAGGTAGTCATCACTTACCGACCACAACTGGGACTGGCAACTCCATGGCTAAGTGTCACGGTTGCTAAGTGAAAAATCACATGACTGCGCAGGACTTACAATGTAATTTCCACTTCAGTCATTAAGTGAATCACTGCAGTCATTAAGCAAGACCACCTGATTGCTATTTGCAATTTCACTTCCACATTCTCCATTAATTATGCTTGTTGGAAGCCAATTGTGAAGCATGCAAATGACAATCATGTGACTATGGAATGCAGGATGGTTGTAAATGTGCGCCAGTTGCAAAGTGCCCTAATGGCAATCATGTGACTGCGGGATGCTGCAGTGGCCATAAATACAAGGATAGATTGCAAAGCTGTTTTAATTCAACCACTGTAACTTCAAATGGTCTCTAAACAAGGCAGTCGGTAAGCGAGGACTACTTGTATATTGTGATTAATCTGGGCTTTGGTTTAGATTTGAATGTCACACAAAGCACATCATATAAACCTGAAGATTACATTTAGCCACTAAGCATGATATGCAAAAACACACTAAAATCTTACATAAATGTTAACTAAAGTTATTAATGTATTTTTATGAAAATTTGATCTACATACATTGATCTTTCCAAATCTATCATCCTCAAATATTTTGGGCTACAATTCCTAGCAGATGTGGTTGGTATGACCTTTGGTCAAAATGATTGGTCCAGTTCCTATATTTTACTTTAGAAACATTTACGATTTAGGCCAAGAAAATGGTATCATCTCTTCATGCCAATATCAAGAATAGGTTAGGTGTCTCAGTCAAAGGAGCAAATTAAGAAAGAGAAAATTAAGAAAGAGAAAAAAAGCTAAAAAAGGAGAAAGGTTGTTTTGATAAATACTCAGTTATTACAAAGAATAATTTAAAAAATCTTGTTCTTCACATGATCTCAGAATAACTAACATCATAATTCTAAATCTGTTTACCCAGAAGCTTCTGTATTACTCCAAGTACAATCAGCATTAGATTCTGAATTAAATTGCCTTCTATACATCTCTCTCTCTTTTTATCCTGAAGTCCAAACTAAAATATTTCTGAGGAACAGTTTCTTGCCCCTTTTCAAAATACTATCAAAAAACTGTACTTTTGAAAAAAATTAAGTGATAAATCTGTCAAAAGCCAAACCTTAAAAAAATATTTAAATTAGAATTTGTTTTACTTACAAGGTATATATACAGCTTGAAAACTTCCAACATAGTTTGGGCCAAGTTCATAAATTGTGCTAATGCTTGATGGAGGCAAGACTTCTTCTAAGAAATGAGTTGGTCCCAACCGCCAAACGAGTGACGAGAGCTGTCGCTGAGCAGGCGGTGTGCCTATATAGGCGTAAACTGTACTAACTATTGGTGGATTGGCACAACTTGAACCGCCAGGGCTACTGTGAATATAGTGAAACTGTAAAATATGTTAATGCAAGACTATCATACCTATTCTATAGACAAATACATTTACATGATCTGCCTATGATTGGCTGATACCAAAACCATCTAGCTACTTTCTACTTTCTTGCTTCGTGTACTTAAGAAATCAACAAAACTACCACATGTAGCTTATTTTGACATTTCTATATGCTAAGAATGGAAAACAAGTATCTATTTAAGGCTCATGCCGAATTAAAAAATATAAATAATCTGATTATAAACTCTTTACTCTGACTAAATTTGCATACTTTAAATCTGCACTTAACAGAATAAATGCATAAACACATCCATACTTTCAGATATATTTAAACAGAGAAATTATACCCCCCCCCCCAACATGGCACCAACTCTTTTCTCCACCCCCTTCTCATGCTGGAAGAGGGGAAGGAGCAAGATGCCTTCTGTTACAAATGCTTTTGATATCTGGGTTGCTTTATAGGGAGATCCCTGACTCAAGGAGTAAGTAACAGAAGCTAGTTCTTCTCCTGATGAAGAACCACTTCTACTTCACCCGCCGACATGGCACATGTCTTTTACCCAAAGATAGTGGAGGAAGAGAATCAATTTCCTCCTCCATCTTTGACTAGGCAGGAAAAAAGCAAGTCTTGGCTTTGCCCCCGTTCCATAATGTCTTGGAGATACAACCTGCTCTTTATCCCTAACACAAGCTCTTTGCAGGGATTGTATATGGAAAAAAATAGCTGGATATTAATTCCCCCATATTTCTCTTGTGAATTAGGCTTGTGGTACTGATGCAGTCTACTTTTTGCTCTAAGATTCTGCATGCTGTATAAACCTAGCTAACTAGATGAAACTTCCTAGGAAATAAATGCCATTTGTCTTTATGGTGATAGAAAAAACTACGACTATTAACTCCATGTTTGCAGAACATTGGGACAGAAAATTCTGGCGCCCAGAGCAATAACTCTGGCTTGACTTATGTACAGAGATTTTGTGGGGGGACCTGAAGCAGAAAAAGTTGCTCTAATTACCAGATAATATGCTTATCCCTACTAGCTTTGAAGCACTACAAACAAAACTTTTCATTTTTCAGAAATGGATATGTAAACATTTGTTCACAAATGTGGCATAGCTGACATAAATATTATTCTGCTTTTGATATTTCTTCTATTTATTTTTATTCATTTTTAAATGTCCACAGCATGTTGGGAATAAACATACTGCAATATTAGGCAATTATAGCCACTGTTTTACTTTCTTTGTGGCTCATCTTACAGATGGAATATTTATTTATTTATTTGCGGATGTGTTGGCCTCTTGCATTTTTTTTTAACTTAAAAAGAGACAAACCAGAAGCCAGTATGGGTTCAGAAGAGGTTGAGTTTTATCTGTTTTTATTTATTCTAAAATGTTTATTCTAAACATTCTGCAATATTGTTAATTTTGACCATCACTCTGGCTTAAGCTTTCTACTTGATTTTCTGTAATTTGTGAATGTGGTATGATTTGCCAGATTAGGATATTCTTCTAAGTCACTCAATCTAGCATGGATTAAGCACTGATATCTTTTATTTAATATATGCATTTAACTACAGACCAATTTTTTTTTTTTACTCTAGCTGGGAGAATACGGAGAGGAATAAACAACACTTCTTCAGTTAGACTAGGGAGCCAAACAGAACAACACAAACAGCGTAAGAAATGTTTTTAGATATGGCCAAATCATGTAGCTTTGATTTCAGAAAGCAAGATTCCCACTCCATATGAATAGCAATCATCATGGGTACTGTGACACAAGAATGGCCCCTTTTGCATTAGAACTGTCATGTTACATGCAAGTACATCAGGGGTAAAGCTTGCATTGTGACATCGCTATGCATGTTTTGTCATTATGACAAAATCTGGGCTTGCTGCGGAAACCCCTGGCAAACATGAACTTAATGTCATGAGGCGGAACAACATAGAGCAACTGCCCACAGCACTTTAGAATATATAAATAATGTCATATATTTTTTCTCGTAAGAGTAGGTGCCACAGAATCTAAATTACCTTTACAGTATTAACTAGCTGTCCATCAATGTAAAGTGCAGCAGTGCTATTTTTCAGCATGCCTTTGCTCATCACCAGAACCATGTGATGCCACTGGCCTTCCAATATATGGTCACCACAACGAAAACGAGCGCAACACGGAAGGATTTCATAGCAGGATGATTCTTCACTGAAGTCGTCAGCTGGAGACCAAAGAACACGGAATGGGAGTTTCTGTTGCCAAATGAATATTCAATGGTCCACCCCCAAAAGAAGCAAACAATTTGGTATGATGTATGATCTCCATTAAGAGTAACAGGCCCTGAACATAGTACTGTGTTTTGGCCTCAAATTTATCAAATCAAAACTAGAAAATCAGAGTTAAAATTAGTTAACCACTTAAATATTTACATTTAGTACAATACCCCAATAAAGAGCCAGATTAAGAAAAGAATCAAAGTCAAGACTGCACTAGAATTATTTAATAAATGTACGGTAATATTAAGAGAAAATCCATTTTCATTTACTAGGCAAGCCATCTGGAATAGAATCACAGGGATTCAACTTTCTCTATTAGCGCCATTAAAAAGTTACATTTGGCTCAAATGTCATATTAAGTTGTTGAGGTGGAAAGGAAGAATGAGCTCAAACAGCTCTTCATTGTAGTTGGGTTCAATTTTAATACCTTCAAATTCAGGGTTCTCTCCAAATTAAGACTTCAAGTTTACAACCTTAGTTTGCAGAAGCCTTAAAAACTATTCCAGCTGGCTGCTTTTTCCCCACTGCAACCCATCATGGTTTGTTGGAGCAGGATTTTTTTTTTATTCCTAGCGTTTTCCTGCAAGTAAAGATCCTTTTCTTTTTTTTTCGGATCAACCAAATGTTGATCTATTGGTTGTGAAAGGACTGACCGACTGGCTTGTCGCCTGAGCTTGATGTCCCGGGCTGAGAGAGAGCGATTGACCCAAAGTCACCCAGCCGGCTTTCATGCCTAAGGCGGGACTAGTACTCCCAGTCTCCTGGTTTCTAGCCTGGTGCCTTAACCATTCGATCAAATTGTCTCTCTTGGTTTGTTGGAGCAGGAATGTTATTTTGAAATGAAGCTTGTTGATGATGTTGGTGAAATGTCTCTAGAAGAGTGTGGTTCTTACCATAGTTCTGAAGCAGTTCTTCTTTAGTTGAAACAATAAGCGATCTATCTTTTACTGAAAGGACGATAGCAAGACATATATAGTGCTGTTCAGAGCTGTTTGCCCGCCTTACAACTGTAAGTAACCTAACTGGATGATAATTTGGGGCTGTACTGAAATGTTCTACACAAAACCAACTTGAATAGCTTAATCCAGATGGAGGTGGGAAAAGCCTTTCTCCTGTAAGAGAAAATGACATGAATTTAGCTATTACTCTTTTTACAATTTCTTTACATATCTAACTTTAATCTTTTAGTCTTACAGCTGTCTACACAATTGGACACTATGAATTTCTGGAGGTGGTAATAGTATAAATATTGCTTATAAAAAATCTAATTCTGCTTTAGTAGATAACGTCTTTAAAAAGTGCATACATTTTACTGATGCATGTTCACAGTTATAATGCACTATGGACTACTCATATACGATCACACTGGCATAAAAAATCTTACCAACATCAAACAAAAATAAAATATGAAGGAACATGAAAGTATGTAATTCATTAATGTATCTGGGAATCGCTGCCTAAATTTCCTGATTGCTACTGAATAGTAAATATAGAAATTATATGAACAGTGTATATATTCAATCATAAAAATGTTTATGATATTTGTTATTTGTTTTGGCTGTTTGCAGACAATATTTTATTTATTTATATAGCCACCCATCTCAGATCAGTGACTATGACAGGCTAACAATAATACAAACAAACAATTAAAACAATACAGAAAATTAAACACACTACATATTTTCCTATATACTTCCCCTTTCTTCCTAGTTTATGAAGGGGAGGAAAATGTTCACACAATTCACTGAAAACTAACTAACTTCCTTCCTTCCTTCCCTCTATAAACAATTCATTTCCTTCCTTCCTTCCTTCCTTCCTTCCTTCCTTCCTTCCTTCCTTCCTTCCTCCCTC